AACGCATGCGCCAACACACACAATCAATTTCGAGGAGTGATGGTAGGAAGGAATCGCCGACCAAAGGCCTTCATGATGGGTGTGGTTGGCCCTGATTCGCATGCCAGATATTGTTATAATCTCTGGCAGGCTCGCACTGCAGGCGTGTCGCACTTTCAAGCCCCTTCAAGGAAAGTGCAACTGACGCACCTGCAGAAGTCGACCGGCTGTAGAGCGCTGAGTCCCCGCACTTGGTTTGCCCTACCTGCCGGTCACCCAACACACCTTATGCACCCACCCCTTCCCGATCACGCTCGCGTGCGACTTGGGGTCTTTCTCTCCTTTCCGTCCTCCCCTTCCTTGGAAAACAGGTTGCATGCGCTGTATAAGCATATCCAGGACAGGGCCGCATCCAGAGCAAATGCATCAAGAATGTATGCCTGTCGCATTGGATATGCAGCATTTGGAGGACATGGGGCACCCATAGCACATTCGATATCCTGGGCATAGGAATTCTTCTTGCATCTGGTTGCTGGCGGGCGATGCCGATGCTTTGGGCCAACGATGTTGGAAGACCTGGACGCATGTCGCAGATTCAGTCGCCCAGAGCAGGCAAACAAAGCCATTTCGGCACAAGCCTCCATGCAAACCGATCACATAAACGTGCAAGCACACACCACATGGCACACACCCCGGCAGTGCGGCGGCCATGCCCGCTAGCTTCCGCTCGTGTACGAGTAGTACTGCTGCGCCACCACCAGCAGCTCCACCGCCTTCCCCGCCAGGCGCCCCACCAGCTGCAGCCTGCTGAACACCCGCCCGGCTGCCCTCACCACCCGCCCAGTCACTAGATCGAAGAAGGGGCTCCTCAGCACGTAAAGCAGCAGCATCACCTTCCGCCGTAGCTCCCTGGCCTCCGGAGGGCCCCACCCGAAGTTGGCCAGGCGCATAATGTACAGGAAGTTGCTCAGCTGGAGGCTCCCGGGGCCGTCGTGGGGCGACAGGCGGGACTCCCACATAACCTCGCCCCCCCCTGGCCACCAGGTAGTAGCTCGTTAGCTCCAGGCCCAGGGACAGCAGCCAGGGTGGCCATGGGTGGCAGCCGTTCCTGTGGCGCAACAGGCGTTCATCATAAAATTTGATGCCTTAATGAACGAATACTTCCATCTTCGTGACTGTTTCGATAATGGATCGTCGATTTAGGCATACTTCATGGCATCGTCATACGAGAATTGAGGCATTCTGATTCTGCAACTGTAGTTGGTCAACCATCCAGAATGCCCGACACAATTATTGCCAACAAAGTGTTGAAGCAATCAGAACATAGCAGCACCGTCACAACGCCAGATGTGATCCAGTCCCATGCATGTGCGGCCTGTCCTCTAGGCATGCAAAGCCCGTCTGTTCCATGGGTATACAAAGCCCGTTATCTGTGCAGTCAAGTTTTGGGCCGCCCTTTCTCGTACTGCATGTATGGACTCTAAATTTGGCAAAACAAAACCCTGAAACCAAAAACCATTAGACAGGACCAAACAACACCAAGCTACAAACAAGCTATAAACACGAGTTTTGGCGTTGCTGGCAGCGGACGCCCTAGCAATGGAGTAAAAGTTCAGAGAAATAGTGGCTGGGTTGCGGTATGGATTCTTGTCCATGAACACCAGCGAATGCAAAGCAGAGGCATATACAGAGGGAAATTAAACTGTCAGACAAGCAGATGTGCAAGGAATGAACAAACGAATTGCCGTAGAACACAGACCAGATTAATCCAGATCAATCAAATAAGATTAATCAAGCAACGGCAAGCCAGCAGCGGCACCCAATGGCACCCTTGCTTTGGCAAAACTGGTGGGTCTCTGACTGCATGACCCTTGCTACAAAGTGCTGCCGAATCCGCAGTACTCAATAGATTGACTTGAAATTTTGATTGCATACTCTTAAAACATAGGCGCAGCTTTTCAAGAAATTTGAAGGAGAAATAAAGTATCCGTGTTGGAAAAGTAAGGCACCAAAGCCATGGAGGACACTTAATTCCGGACGGAGGAAATATAATACTACATGAGCCTGATAGTCGTAGATACAAGAAATGCCATATCTTTCTCGTTGCTCATCCAAATGGTCTGTTCTTTGGCTCATTGAGTAGAAAACCAGCTGCATCACCACGTCTCAAATTTCGTCTCATTCTTCCCATGACTTTCAACTCAAATCCGAATTCTTGAGATGGAAATTTTGATACCCTTGCAACCATTGGGTCCTTGGAGCCCAAACTTTAGCACCAATAAGAACTCTAACTAATTCATAAGAGGTGATAATGAATTGAAAATGGTACCAACTCATTACAAATCGACGGTTGAGTACATAGAAAACGCCAGAAAAATGTAATGACCTCATCTAAACTATAACGAATTCTAAAAACAGGCGCACAACTAAGTCCAAGCTTATTGGGAGTTTTAACTGGTTGTAAACTATGCCGACACACTCCCACAAGCGATACGCACCCGATACTGAGCGATATTGCCCGATCCCTCATGGGTGCCAGGTTGAGTCAACTGGCGGCAATACAACCGCTCGCCCCCGACTCGACCTCTCGTGTCTCCATTCACCCCCCGCGCCCCGCTGGCCTCAGAGAGCGGTGCGTTATCTCTTTTGGGCCCCCACCATCAAACTCCCCGTGCAAGCTGGGAGCCACCCCCCCTCTCCATAATCTGACTGATTACTTTTCTTTGGAGTGCGAAGATCGACCGTGCGGCTCTGTGAGCCATGGCCATTCGCGGGACCCATGTCCGACTGCATGATTTGGGGGTGCTGTCCTTTTCCTCACCTCCCGTTTGCATTCTGTCCGCATAGGCTGCAAGGTCTTTCCCTTGCTTGTGTTTTCCCCTAGCTACTTTTTGTTTGTCCTGCCGAGTTTTGGCAATCCGGCCAGGCAGATGGGATGGGCCTCCCACGGCCCCATGGCTAGCCCTCGGTCGTGTGCTGCGATTCCAGTGTATTGCTCAGATGTCTCGACGTGGAGCTTCTCTGCGAGTCCCTCCGAGTCTTGGAGCCCAGTTTTGACATGTGCGCATGGGTTTCTGAGCCTTTCTGGGTGGTGAGGAGGCGACAGGCACAGTGCTAGTACATAGCAGCAAGTGGCATCCTAGTGATGCTTCCATGGTGTTGCATGAGTTCCTGTACGTTGTCAGCCATGCTAGATGGTGTTCAGGTCTGCTTCATGCCTACGGATTCTACGCTGACACTGTCAGGTCCTGTGGCCCCCCCGAGCGTCCTGGGTCCTTTTGGACGTTGTCTTGGTGATGGGAGGGCGTTGTCACCGGTGTTCTCAGTCATCTTGGGCCGAGCCTGGGCTACGTGTCATTGGTCCTGGGCCTCACGGGGCGCCAGCTGAGCGCTGCTACAGGGGCTCTATCCGTAATGTAATCTTTCTATATTATTTGGAGCCCTGAACAGTTGTATTTTCCATATTAACAGCATTGGCTTCGCTTTTCCACACAAAGGAACAAATGCCGGTGGCCATGCATCACTACTATACCATGTACATCCAACCTGGGGGCAAACCCTGTCATGGCAAACGTGCTTCTGCGCCACGTTTTACCCCCGACACTGCAGCGATGGCCTGAAAAATGAAAGGCGTCAGGCCCCCTGGGAAGGTGACTCCATACTTTACATCACCAATTCGTTGATGCGGTTTCAGAACCTCAGTGTTTCGCCAACCATGGCCACCGCTGATGCCACCCTGTCCTGTGGCGGCGATTGCCTGGATCACCCATCCATGACGGGCCGCACCGAGGTGCCAACGCGCCACCGGCCGCCACACAGAGCTACAACACGCGGCCCCCACATTCCCGCCGGCTTGGGCAAAATCTGGCTCGACAGCAGCAGCAGCAGCAGGTCGTGGCAGCCACGTGAGGATGTGCCATGGGCAGGATTCCCACTGAAATAGTCCCGCTGAGGATCCTCAGCGGGGATCAGCAGCGATCCTCAGCGGTGCTTCTAGAGGCACCCCGGCAACGTTGACGAGACGCTACCCAATGCCGGACTACAGCAACCCGTCGCCTCCCCCCCCCAATGCCCGCTACCGTTCGGCAGCATCTCTGCTGCGTCTGCCACCCTCCTTTTCCTGACATTGAGAAGAATCGTCACAGTCGACAACTGCAAGACGTGCAAGAACAGCGAGATGCTGGCAGGCTTGCCCTGCTAGAGCACTGCTAGCGCCCCGCGTTGATCCCACATGTCCCTACTCTAGGCGTGTCGGTCGTTTCTGTTGGCCCTGAAACGTTCGCTGCTCAGCCTATCCTCGCCGACAGGCCCGTCGCAGAGCGGTCAAGCCCCAGCCAAAGGAAGGGGCCAGCCCAGGCTCCACTGCCTGCCACACTGCTAATCGCTACCGTGCATGAATGCCGTCAGGCCGCCCTGAGAGCACAGCACCACGCGGTGGCTGCACTTCCCATCTGCACAAATTTATGGGCAGCAATTATGAGCGGGGAGGGGAACACTCCCAGGAATGGCGCTGCATCCTGCAGGAGGCCTCCGAGCATCCCCGGCGTGGCTGCCATGGCCATTGCACGAGGTTGAAGAGGCAAACGGCAACGGCCCAGAGCCGTGCGATGGGCCACGGGCCAAACGCAGTCATCCTATGCACGTATGGTACACGCACAGCTCGCTCAAACAATCCCAACGAATTCAAAACGCATGCTGTGCCCAGCCGCCAGCAACACGACCCGCCCCGGGGGAGCCCACCGAAAACAATACCCGCTGCACAGCTTTTGCACCGCTTTTGTCTCCCCTGGCAGGGGGTCTACTTCCACGCTGGCTCCCAGGCCAAGAATCTGCTTCTGGCACTTGTGGCCAACTTTATTGGCAATCTGGTGTGCCTCAGAGCCTGCGCCCTACCCTGCCACCTGCCACCCCACCCGATCCTAGCCAAATCTGCACAGCTTACCCCCTTGGCGGTGAGCCCCCCAGGCTGGTCCCTTCTTGTTAATGCCCTGTTCACGGCTGCTGGGCACCTGCAAGCCACCTCATGGGCGGCGGTTGGAGAAAGCGACCTTGAGGCGGCGGCCTTCGAACGGCCCAGCGATGTTTGCACCATCCATGTTCGTCATCGCGTTCTGCGCATAGTAGGGGTGCCCGTACGTTATGAAGGCAAAGCCACGTGACTGCTTGGTGTCCCGGTCGCGGATGACCTGTTGGTGGCACAATGAACCATCAGATGCCTTTTTCCTGAATGTGATATGGGGCACAGATTGAACAACTGTCACCAATAGAAAAAGGCATGTTTGCGATGCCAACCGCGATGCCATTTGACACAAATTGATGCCATCGCAGCCACGTTTACGCCATCGCAGTCACTGCGACAGCACCACTTTGTGTCAAATGTCTTCACAGTTGGCATCGCAAACATGCCATTTTCTACCAGTGTGTAATGAGGAGGCCAGATGGTGGTCAGGCGACACGCTTGCAACCAGGTACAACCAACACAGGCAAGGATCTCGGCACCGGATAACGTATATGCAGTGGTATACAAGAAGGGCATATAGAAGGCTTTTCAAAAAGGATTGCCAGAAGCCCAACTGCCAAGGCCCGCTTCCACTTCCATGCCCCCACATGAACACACAGCACATGCATGTACATATACATGTGCATGAGGAAGTGTATGTGAATGTGCCTGCAAATACACCTACACATGAACATCATGCATGGGTACCTATGCAATATGTACCAAGAGCATCCTCCCATACAATCGATGGGATCAGCTCTCAATTCAAACACTGCCTAAACTACCATGCTGCTCTGAACAGCATTCACCCAATGGACATGGATTGTATTCATTGCAGCAACGTGCAGACAACACACACTCAACAGCTCCAGTTGAGATTTGCGACGCAGCGGAAATTTCCTACCCTGCTCAGATCACATACTCAGATCACTCGCATCACTCGGATCACTCATCAACTCAGATCAAATTGTCACCAGTCCAAAGACCTGTCCATGCTTGGCCACACCGCTCACCTGGACATTTGTTATCTGGCCAAACACAGCAAAGTAGTTCAGGAGGAGGTTCTCATCCACGTTCGGTGCCAGGTTCCCAATGTACAGGGTGACAACACCCTGCGACATCCGTCCGTTGTCCTGCTCATATGACGTTGAAGAGATCGACCTCTCGGATGGCGTCATGGGCCCCATGCTGTTGACCCCATTGTTGGTGCGCTCCGATGACTTCGAAGCCGTCTCCTCGTTCAGGTCGGTTGAGCTGGTCTGCCGCTGCATGCCCTTTGGCTGGCGGTTGGGTGCCTGATACAATTTGGGGATCTTTCTCAGATCCAAAAGACAGACTACATATTTTTCCAAAAGGAAACAACAATACATTCGTTCATACGTCAATTTGCAACCGAGACAGACAACATGTACGTGCAACAGTGTCCCACTCATATTAACAGATGAGGTGTCAAAAAGTAATGCTTTGCTCTGACTGTTTGTGTCAGTCTGTTCAGAAGAGTATATCAAGCAAAATGAGGTAGCCCACGTACACTAGATTCCATGCACTGCCCTGCTGATGCCATATGCTGTCTTCGCAACCAGGCCTTCAAAATGGAGGCCTGCCATCTCTGGAACCTGCGTTCCCGTCGCATTCTTGACAGAATTTCAGTGAGTTCTGTGGAAATAATGGTAAGTTCCTAGAGTCAAATTCCCCCCACCCCTTTGCATCAATTTGATGCACAGCATACCTAAATGCAGTACTGCACGGTGGCCACTGAATGCTGAGCCAGAATTGGCAAGCCAAGCGATACTTCACAAATTACTCCTTCAGAAAGGACTCCTTTCGCAGCTGCTGGTTGTGGCGGCACTCACTGATGATGACACAAGCAATGAAAGCAGAATTGCCAAATTTTGATGGTGTCTTCCACAAGTTCAACAGCACAGCAGCATACCCATAATACACCATACAGTATGAAGTAAACGATGGTGCACTGCACACTGTGTAACATGCAATACTCATTGTCTTGGCCACAAACTACCAAAGAGACTGCAACCAACATGTACACTGCTAACAGGATTCCGAGCTCCGCTGTACCTGTCCTGATGGGTGTGGGATCCCCCCTGGGCCCATGGCTGGGGGAGGCTGGGGCTGCATTTGATCCTGCATGTGCTGTGGTCCCATGTGCGTGTAGTAGCCGTACTGTGGTGCATAAGTCATGGCTTGATATGGCTGACCGAATGGCATGTAGGTAATTGGGTACTGGCCAGCTCCCTGCGATGCAACACATGTTAGCTTAAATGTGCCCATCACAGCACAGTGGGGAAGGGGTTATGGGAAGGCATGGCCCCTGACACTACAACAGAAGGCGCATACAGTGTGCACTTGTTCTTTCTTTTTTCTTTTTCTGTTTCACAATATTTCCTTTTTGATTCCAGAATTATTACATCACATTTCAGCATCCAGATGCCTCCACTGTCCAATCACGAGATGTGTGGGCCTTGTACCACCTAACAAGAGTGTGCAAGGAGATGTGAAGCCCCCAAATTGTTCGAATCCAAAACGATAATCGGTCTCAGGAAAAAGAAAAGAGAAGTTTGGACTCTGGGCAGTCCTGGCAGAACAGCAATCAGAGTAAACAGCACTTGTCTCTATGTCTGTTCCACTGCATAATAGTGCCTGATGCTAACAGCATAAGTACCAACCCCCTCCAAACAAAGGAGGTATGGGCCTGTGCCACAAACAGGAAAGTGGGGTGATGTGATGATAGCATGATGGGTATGGGGCATATGGCAGAACAAACCCAAGTGCAGAAGCGTGTGGATAATGTGTGGTATGAAATCAGTCAACGACCTGTAAAGCAAGGTATTTTGTCACAATTTTGACACATTCTACGCAAAATGTTCTTACAACCGGGGCCCTACAGGGTTTGCGATCTCTGGTGGACACACAGACAATCACCACCACAGGCCGAGACAGTGTTTGATGATGAGGCAGTGCCTGGTGTTGTGTAACTCGTGCATTGTGTAGAATTGCACAGTGCAACGGGCTGGTTCACTTTTCTTCTCCTTGAATCGATACCATTAAGAGGGACATCAACCAACACAACACAAAAGTACAACACGCACAACAGTAGGTCACACAACTGGCCCATACAACATGGCTAAGGCAGAACGGTGCCAAAGACCACAGCGTATGGTATACGTTGAGCATACCGGCTGTGGAGGCATGGGCATCCGAGGCACTGAGCTTGGTCCGGGTTGCATCGCCATGGGTTTCCCGAATCCCCCTGCAAAGCACATAGAAACTTATACTGTATCACTGCACTTTTGATGATGGGCACCAAAAATTGATGTGCTTCGCCCTACTGGCAGACAGGGCAAGTTATGATGCATTGCACAAATATAGAAATATTTACTCATGCTAGATTTGCAACTTAGGGACCATCAGACTGCTGTGATTCTCTTGGTGGATGTTTGAGTGCTGTTCACTTTCTCCGAAAATGGGGCTCCCTTCTCCTAGATTTTGTTGGTGATATATGTGACCCACCTGGATTCTCACAGTCTCTTGCAGCTGAAAAACACCATTGATGGCCTCAACAAAACAAATGTGCACACCAGCTATTGATGCACTACATGGTGCAACCTCACAGTGACTATGCTAAGGGCAAGGGCCATGAGTTCAATCAAACTCACAGAAAATGCTCTCTGCCAGAGGCCATGCCACATGGCACCCTTGTTGCCAGCTGCACACGCGGCAGGCGCATTCAAAGCCCAACAATGCTCACCAGTTTGAGAGTTGTGCGGGACAGCATAGGGCGGCCCCATCATCGGTGCCTGCGGCACCTGTTGTGGAACATAGCTGGGATAGTGCATCTGTGGTGTGTATGCCATTGCCGGCCACCGCACCACACCCATGCCCGGATGCACCACTGACCATCCCTGCAGCGGATCATGCCACACACACTCATGGTGAACGATATGCCGCATGATACGCTCACATTCAGTCACGATGAACAAACAGTGATGCGTTCCTCTTTCCATTCTGTGGACACCCTCGAGTGCATGTTTTTGATTTCATACTTGCTGTCGGTGGCCCTATAGCCCTGCAAAGTGGAAAAGGACCCATCTCATTCTGCCAGGCCAGGGATGCTCTTTGTATGGCTCTGGTTTACTCGGATTGTAACACATCTTGTGACACACACCCCACACAATTCAAGGCTGTTGTGGTGGTTATATTTGGGCACTCATGATCAAGCAACATAGGTCTAACAATTTCTAGCGTTGAAATTTCAATGCTGTCATCCTTCAAAATTGCCTTCAAGGAACAGCTATCCCCTTACTACAATTTGTACATGATGATGCATCCATACATCCAAAATCGTCATCATGCTTTTGTTGTTTTGATACTTCCATGCAATCTGACAAACAATGCACAGCAAGCCCACCATGCTGCCAACTGATTCAGCGGCGGTGTCCTTTCAGTTCTGACAAGTAGGCGTGAGTGCCATGCAGACAACAGTGCACAGCACCGAATACAGATTAGAGGTGAACATAAGAGCACTCCACCAGGCTGGTGCCATGTGTGCTGTTGTACCAAAAGAAACATCTCCACTTCGCCAATACTCCCAACACAACAGCCTCAAATGCATCTTCTACTGCACCAGGTGCAACACCCCTTCTAACACAGTTTCGCAGTGCTGGAAGAGGTCATGCATAAACAACACTGGGGTTCAGCGGGTTGGTTGCTGTCAAGGCAGTGCCACATGGCTTCATAACAGCCACGAGCACACCCATGGAAAGCAAACAGCCTGCCGCGCAAAATTCCATGTTTTCCAGTTCCCATTGGCACAGGAGGACAGAGTCCGTCGTCCTGGAAGGCAATTCCCTGGGAATGTGCTTGCCCATATGTATGAAGAAATTTTGGCAGCTGAAAGGCCAATCATGGGCACCACAACCACTGGTTGACATCTGTGGGATGTTGCTGCAAAGGTGAGTGCAACAGCATTGGAATGAGTCGCTAATTCTTCGGTCCACTGGGCTTCTACAAACAAGGTGCCGGCAGAAACAACTGCCAGCAATGACAATACATGCCAGAAGATCACCAGCACCACATGCAGGCCATTCACGTGCACTCCTTGCCTTTTCCAGCACAATGCCCGTGACCAGTTTACGGCACAACACTATTGCCAAGCACACTGCATTGTCTTGCACTATCCCTCATTGTTCTCCCTTCACTATCTCAGGCTTCCCTGCCACAGTGCGTATCTATACAGATGGAACACCAGGAATTATGCCTTGTTGACTTGAATTACGTTCCTCAAAACGAACAAGCACAACACCTGTTCATACCTGTGCACCTTCAGGGTAAGGAGGCCTTGCAGGGTTCTCCTTTTGGTTGAAGGCAGGCCTGCTGTTGCTACCCTGGTGACGTGGCACCTTGCCCTTGCCTGCCACGTTCATGGTCCCGCCATTCTTGTGGCGAGTTCCAAAGCCCTGGTGCCACCTTTCCTGGCACTGGCGATGCAAACCAACCTGGTCAGCAGCCACAACTGAATGGCGCCCCCCCTGGCCCCCAAACCATGGACGCTTGCAAAACAGATATTTCGCATTTCCCGTGTTCCCATTGAAGGAGGCACCCAAATCGATCGATGCGAAAGCAGAGGAAGACTCTGGAAGAAGCAATAATAAAGGAAGCAACAGAAGCGCTGCAATAGAAGAATCCATGACAGTATGCACAGAAAAATCAATGGAGTCTGCAATGGAAGAACCAATAACATCATGAACAATGATTATCAAAGGATACAAGATCCCGCGATCACCATGTTGTGGTCCTCCCCGCCCCGGTTGCCCTCTACAATTGGCACTCCTCCCCAGCCCATTCCCATGGGCGTATGTCTTGGGGTTCGCCGATGCGTGCTCTGCAATCAACATCCGACCAACACTCAATCCTTATCCCTCCACTTGCAGCGAATCGCATTGGGGTCCCCTATTTTCTGCAATAATGCCTACACCCCACAGCAAACCTTGTTTCCTCCATGCACAACCCTAATCTCCTTTAATGTCATTGGTGGTCCCCTTGCGCTCCCATAGTGCTTAAATGTAACAAAGGGCCAACCTGTTCTTGCTCCAGGGAGTGCCCCACAGCTCAGACTGCTTTCCAGCTGCTTCAATAACAACAAAGATGCGTATTTCAATTCAACAATGATATCCATTTTAACTCAGCAGTGAACCCTGTCCACTGCTCCTGCACTTGCCCGTGACTGTATATATGTAATTGAAGAACATGGCAGTGGCACAACACCAGTGTTACGGCACAGTGTACTTGTTGCCAGGCAAGAGCTCTGCCACATGTGCTCCCCTGCAGGCAGGCTGGCTGCAATGTGTGTCCTTGTGAATTGGGTGCAGGGGCCTGCCTGCCACTGGTCCCCACAGAGGTGACAAACCTGTCTCCATTCACATCACAGTTGCCTGCTCGTGAACAATTTGAAGAACTACACTTGGTCCAGAGACACCAATTTTTAGTTGTGGCCCTCCACTTGAGCCGATCAGCAACAACGACAACAGTTCACGACTCTTCTCCTTCAATGTTGACAATTCATTTTCTCTTGCAAAGAAAAGTTTTGGGCCATTCATCGCCCCGAACTTTTCTTGCCAAACCAGATGTCTTGTGTTGGGGCAGCAGCAATACCTGCACACCTAAACAAAACTAAATGTGATGTGATGATAATAATTGATTGATTAGTAATCATAAATCCATACTGAAATGATCACAATAGTGATATCAAAGTGACAATTGATTGATTGATGACAATCAAAACAAGCAGACTCACCCTTGGTGCTCCTTCAGGGATCGGCACTGGCGACCCCACCATGCCATCGCGCGACACTGGGAAGTGGGCCTCGCAGGCAGCTCCCTTCTTCATGGCCATCCCATCGATCCCAGGCACGACTTCAAACGCCCCCACCCTGCCTGAAGAAGTCCCAACAAACACCAGACCGCTGGGGTGCCAGGCGATGCACACCACAGCATCGCCTGAGCCCTCTGGCCCTACCCGCCCGCTGCTGAGTGCTGGCACCAGGCCACGGCCCATGCTCTCGCAGTTGGCCATGGAGAACTTGTTGGAGTCGAAGACAACCACTTGGCAGTCGCTGCCGCCTGTGGCCTGGGGTCAGGCATCCAATGCAGTTGATCGTGTCCTCCTCACTTTCCAATTTTGTGCATTTTCTGGTGCTTCTTGTGCGCTTTCTTGTGTATTTTTTTGAGTTCTAGGCGGCCAACACAAGCACCATCCAGGGATGGTGTTGTTTTCTGTGCACCGATTCAGAGATCTGCCAAAATGGGGCACAGATGCAACGCTTGCTATTTTGGTAGGCACTGACAGGTGAATGACAACAAGAATGACAATGGGAGCAAGCTGTGCTGTCTCTGTGGAGGGGATGACATTCAAAGTCATGCAAGTATATGAAGATATGCCAGAGTGGACCGTAAGACTGTGTTGCGCTCGTACACCAAGCTGTGTGTTGATAGGCTAATATACAAGCACAGGACTGGGAGTCTCCAGATACAGTCTATCTCGCCTTTGATTTTGAGTTGAGCACTAATATGTGGATCGGATTCCTGGCTGTGTGACCCACTGGGCTTGAACCATTCGTTTGTGTTTGTCCAAAGGACATGGCAAGACACTGGCCTGCACATTGAAGGCAATGTTGAGCTTTACCCGTTTTTGGTTCATATCCATACAGAAACACCTTAGGTATTCAATAGCACAGGACAGAAACAAACTGTTGTGCAAAACTGAGCCTGTAAAAGCAACAAAGAAAATAGACAATACGTGGAGCAATTAGGGCAGCAGACAGCTAGGCACTATCACTATCTGATGCATGTTGGAGCAGCTCAAGAGTGTTGTAAAGACAGACCCAGCATGGTTCCTGACTATAGCAACAGCAAATGGGGGTCTGCAGGACAAGGGGCAGGGTGGAAATCGGTGCTTGTCTTCTGTCTGCAACACTAACGGACAATGAGGGAGACCAGCAAAAGGCAATGGAAGGGTGGACCAGATTGGGCTCTCCAGGCATTGAGCTACGGTGGCCTTCTCACCAAAAGCTTGCCAGACGGTTGAAACGCCAATGCAGTTATCTTCGATTTCTTCTCGTGGCCAATGCACACGATGTAGTCATCTTTTCCATCCCTAGGATCTGAGGCACTGTTGCCCATATCCCTGCGCATACAGAAGTGCCCACACCAATATTAGTTTGATTTAGTTCAGTAAGGGCTTGGGGCGCAAGAGGTTCATATTGAATTTGAAGTGGGTCCCTAGCGGCCAGGCACTCTGGGGGCAGGGGGGGTTGACAGTGTGCAGCGCTGCCTGTTGGGCAGCCGTATTCTTCCTTTCTTTTCTAACCTATCCATTTTTGGCCTCCTTGCCTTCTACGAGGGTCATGTTGGCCCTGTGGTGGCTATTGATACAGGGACATGGACACTGCTGGTGATATTTGGACAGGCCAGTGGGCAGATAAACCCACTTGTTCATACACCCAATATGAAAAATGCATTCAAAAACGGCCATAACCATCCAGGCTTTGTCGGAAGGTACGGGTTCTCCCAAAGCGTTCTGCAATGTTGTTACACTGAGCCACCTAGCAATTCTTCTGTTTCGGTTTTCCATGACTGATTCGCCACCAGGAAACCACTCCGCTAATGTGTGAGTGCGACAAAGTGTACCTATCAGTAGTCTTCTGCCACAACAATCAATGGTAAATCAATAGTACTGTGGATTGCTATTATGCACTGCTAGTACATAAATTCTAATATTCAGCAGCAAACCACATTCCATCACATGATTCATGGATCTCTTGCCACATGCAGGCAATGTTATATTGGCCATCATGCCGAAGAAGGTGATCTGTTTGTGCTTATGCTCCTGCCATGTTTGCTGTAGTCCAAGCAAATGGACTACCGCTGTGACAACCAACAGACTCAACAACTGCCTTCTGCAGCAGAGCACTGTCTCATGCCTGAGCACATAGCAACCATGGCCCAACAGGGTTAAATGTGAGAACTCGTGGGGGTGCATGACTAAAGCAAGCAAGCAGGCAAGCACAGTGTACAGCATCACCCTCCTCATACCACACAATAACTTCGCTGCCACCAGCCGTAGCCAAGAAGCTCCCACTCTCATCCCAAGCAAGGCAGCCCACCTGCTGCATCAACAACCAAATTGGAAGAGGTCCAAGCTATTGTGACATGGAGAATAGCACACTGTGTTGTGCAACAGAAGAAGCCCACCCAAGGCCACACTCAGCAAGGGGGTGACCATCGTACAAGATGCCCCTTCCCATGAACAGAGGACATTGTTGTGAAGGCCTTGTTGCATGCCCATAATGATTCCCTTGAACGCCTGTGTGTGTTTTTGCGGATGTGCCCTTGCCGTTTTTGACATCAGCCGTTTGCTCACCTCTGCGTCGTAAGTGTTCTGGATGCCCTTCACAGACACCAGGCTATGGTCTTCATCATTCTCCAGGTTCCATATCTGAACCTGTAAAACATGTCAAACACAACTAAATACCACCTTATCCGGCCACAGGGCACAGATCACAAACTTGCCTGCTGTTGCCAAGGGGTGACGAGCACTAAGCGAAGCACCAGAGAGCTCGCAGCATATGCTGCCTCTGGGTTGTCGCAAAGCAACAAAAAGTACTAAAGTCTGGTCCCCCCTCCAAGAACAGTCCAGGGACAAAACAAGCAGACCAGAACGAGGCAGCTGTCTCAAAAGAGTAGATCCAAGCAGTAGACGAGGTATTTAACAGAGTTTCACCATCTTTTTGCCCAGGGGGAGGATGCCCATTGTATGATATGTTCTCCTTTCAGTATCTCCCTTTGCCTTCAAGTCTGCATCCATTCTTGCACACCGGCCTCTCAACAAACAGTGCCCTGGCAATCCAAGAGCCCCCCCCCCCCTCTCACCGATCCGTTGCTGCAGCCCGCGGCCAGCAGCTTGCCTCCAGGGGCGGACGCCACGGCGGTGAGCGTGCCGCCGTCGTCCTCCGCACTCAGGCCCGCGCCCAACTCGAACTGCTCCTCCGTTATGCCGAACATCTGGATGCCGGAGCCCACGATCACCGCCAGCTCATAGCCCGACCGCCACTCCATCGCCACCACCGCCGAGATCAGGGGCTCGATCGTGTGCAGGTGCACGCCGCCGTGGCCGAAGATGCACACGCTCCTGCGCATAAGACCACCCACCGATCCGCCAAATCAGCCCGTGAGTCTCCCCCCAAACCCACAGCAGGCAAAGGGCGAATCACACAACTCACCGGTTCGTCAACTCAGTCCCTTGAACCTCACTCCCCACCCACAACAGGCAAAGGGCACCTTTGCGCATTGCCCGCCGCCACAAGAGGCAGAAGCACCAGAGACAAGACGCCGGTCCGTCAACGCAGCCCCTCGCACACCAACCACCCACAACCGGCAAAGGGCGCCTTCACGCATTCCCAACCAGCGCAAAAGGCACAAGCACAGGGCACCGAAAAGGCATTCGCCGCCTTGACGCCGCAGCAATCCTCGCGTCCCCGCCTGCCCTCCCCCGCTCCCATCCCCCCCCTCGCCCACCCCGTCCAAGATCCGAGACTCGCCGCGGGCGCCGCGGTGCACGCGACCGGATTCCCTCGACCGCAATCCGCGCGCCTCTCTCTGCCCAAGGGCGCCGTGCAGCGCCCGAGGGATCCCGCGCGGGAGAGGATCCCTCCCCCCCTTCTGTCAAGCCAGAGCTCACGGGTTGCACTGGTTGCACCGCCAGATGGCCTACCGCAATCCGCGAGGTTGACGAGCAAAAACACAGGCCGCTCGCCCCCCCGGCCCTCACCCCGCCAGATCGCCTTCCTATGCGCATCTCGCCGCGCACGCGGCCCGCGGGCGCCGGCCGCGATCTCCCCCGCCCGCCGAGGGTCCAAGAGGAAGGGCGCGGTGAATCGAACCGAATCCTCCCCGCCAGCCTTCCGCCTCCCGGCGCCACTCACAGGCTCCAGCCCCCAGCCCCCTCCATACCAATCGGTCCAGCCCCAGCCACCATCTCCCCCGGGCAAACCGAGATTCTTCGATTCCCTCCCGCTCTGCCGCCGGCCCGGCCCCAGACAGCCACCCCCACCGCCGCGAAAAGGCAACAGAGCAAAAACACAGAGCCGAAACCTGCGGCTCCCCCCTCCCCCCCTTCATCCCAATCACACCAGCAAGACACACGGCACTCCCCCCCCCTCCGCCCAAGCAATCTCCACCGGCCAACCTGAGATTCGTCGATTCCCGCCCACCCTCGCCTCGGTCCAGCCCCCGACCACCAACCGGCCACCGCACAGGAGGCAAAAGGCGACAAAGCCAAAGGGCCGCGAAGCAGCCACAACTCACCGCCCGCCCGTGGCAGCGACCAGCTCGCCCTCCTTCGAGCACGCCAGCGCGGACACCGCGGGAGCGCCCCCCTCCTCCTCCCCCTCCTCCCCGCATCCCGCCGGAAATTGGGTCGAGCAGGTCTCCTCTCCGCCATGGACATCCCACCACTTCAGAAACCCATCGCTGGCGCCGCTTATGACCTCCTCGCCGCTGCGCGAGAACGCAAAGGCGGTGATGGCAGCGGGGGCGGTCGGCAGCTCGTGGCGCAGCTCAAAGTCGCCCCCGCCCACGTACAGCCGGATCATCGACTCCGTGGCCACGGCCACCACGCCCTGGGGAGAGATCTGGATGTCGCGCACGGCCGAGCCCACCGCGGACGCCCAGCGCTCGTCGAGCCGCATCCCGTCGTCGGCCGGGAAAGCGCCGGACTCCGCCCCGGCCATCCCGCCTCGCTCACCCCCGATCCTTGACCTCGGCCGCCGAGGCCTCCAGGATCCCGCGGCCAGCGCAGGCCGCTGCGGCGCACCGGCCGGCCGGCCAACTCAGCTTCGAAAATTCCACCCGGGCGATTGGCCGCGCCCCGCTCCGGCTCAGGACGCCCGTCTTCACAGCCGGGATCCCTTATTCGCGGCGGGATGCGCCCTTGAGCGCCGGCGAGCCGTGACAGGGGCACAGAGCGGCAGCTAGTTGCTGCTCGGTGGCCAAGGGCGTGCCTGGAGGTCGCCGGAGCGGAGTTGTGAAAAAATCCGCCCAAAAAGGGGCTGGGCCGTGCGACGCCGGCCAGTGCCCTGCGGGAACTTCGGGGTTGGGCGGTGAACCCCGCTGCCGCGTCAACCTCGGAAATCCCGAGTTGGGAGCTAAAGTACAGAGGCGTTTGCTGGACCGGGATCTCCGGAGGTGGGGTAGTCAGGGGGGACTGGGCCACCGGGCGCCGCGTGGGGCACGTTGATGTGCGGACGGCCAGTTGTACTGGGACGGGTGGATGCGAGGGGGGGGCGGTGCGTGGGTCCTGCCTTGGTGCTTCCTTGGAAGAACGCTGCCGGAACGTACCTGAGGATTCAGTAGTTCAGTCATCCTCCTTGTCATCCGCCTCGACAAACGTGAGGGCGGGCGCGGCTGTGCTGGTTGTGGAGGTGGGGCGGAATCGGTGTGAGCCGAGAAGAAGAAGATTTCCTGCATACGGTGTTGCGACGAAAATGAGCATGTCACCGTCCGTGCTGTACATGCAACACATGACCTGACCCATCAGAATGTACCGTGGCCACGCTTGCGTGAGCCGAGAAGACACGGTGCAGTCCGCTAGGGGGGGGTCTCTCAATGAAGAAGAGGGAAAACCTGCAATTGGATCTTGCGAACAGTTTATCAGGCGTTCTGCACTGTGG